TATATGTAATTTGCAGGTATCCTCGAAGTTGCCTTTGGTGCTCTCTGAAAAGGTCCAACGTTCAAAGGTACAACAACAAATTGCTTGGTTGTAGCTTGTATCTATAGTTATCAAGATCTTGTTCTTAACAGAAGAAAAAAATTAAGTTGAAAAGATATTGTTCAATAGCTTGGTGTTTTAACTGACCAGTTCTTTTCCCTTGAAAAAAAGGGGGGGAAACCTGTGATTAAATAAATGATTTGCTTTTTGTGCAGGCACTTGTTGAGTGTGAAGGAAATTCAATAGATTTGAGCGGTGATATGGGTGCTGTAGGACGGGTAATAATTTCAGATTCTAAATCTGCAAATCGGGAAATGTACCTTGATTTGAAAGGCATGTCTTGTTCATATCTCTTTATCATATAGACAAATGTGCTGATTGTTTAGCTTTGCCAGTACAACTTATTGTGCTGCATGTTTCCGTATTAGCTGCCTACATCTGATTGGTTTGCTTTTTTTGTTTAACATTACAGGTACCGTATACAAAACAACAATAGTTCCTTCCAGGACATTTTGTGTTGTAAGTTATATGTCTCCATTTACAATTTTAACATCGGGGATCATGTCCTTAATTATGTAATTAGCACTTTGTAGGAATCAGATATCTCCTCCTCTATTACTGATGAAATTACATTTTAAATAATAGGGATTTGACGTGACACAAATTTTTTCTTGCCCAGGTTAGCTTTGGTCAATCAGAGGCAAAGGTTAGTTAATCAGTTAGTTAGATTAGCTGAAAAAATGCAGGATTTTATGAAGAAAAAAGAAATGTTGACTAAACTTTGAATTGTATATTGTTTGAGCAGATTGAAGCTATCATGAATGACTTTATTCAGCTGAAACCACAATCAAATGTTTATGAAGCTGAAACAATGGTTGAAGGTTAGAGAATTTTCCAAAGGGATTTTGTTGTGATGGCAGTTTCTTTATTTTTGCTTTGTATGTTTCTTAAAAACAACTTGTCATTTTGAATGTGTAGGAACCCTAGATGGTTTCTCATTTGATTCAGAAGATGAAACTGATAAACTTCCTAAAGCCATTCCGCATCAAACTAATCAAAACGAGGAGGATGTTGAAGAACAAACTAAGGGGAAAGCCAAGGGGAAAGCTGAGAAAGCATCGGTACGTTTATGAACCTTAAATTTCCTTTACAATTTTTGTTGGGGTAAATTAATCTTCAATTATTTTAAGTTTTTGTCTACAGACTGTTGTAAGGAAGAGGGGTAAAACTGCTGGAGGGAAGCCACAGCCAACGAAGAAAGCAAGAAAGAAAACTCAAGTTTCCAAGAAAGCCAAGAGCAAAAAATGAGGCGTACAATTTTGTTTATCATTTCTTGTTACTGCAACAAATCATAAATCAGTAACTAGATGTTAGTTCTCATATTGACGAAAGTAGAGTTGATTGAGGATTATGTAGTGACAGATTATTGTATAATGATGGCCATTGGTGGCCAATATTCTGAAATTTTAACATACGCAGATTCGTGGTTACGTACAATATTTTACATTATTGTAGATTGCCTACAATTAACTGAGCCAGGATCTTTATGATTGTATCGTCATGAATCATAAACGTCATGCTTAGAACCATGTCGTTGACCCTTGTTTTGTAACCCCTTTCATGTACTAAAGGCTTCGGATTCCTTTCAAATTTCAAAAGTCAATTGATCCCCAACATTTCAATGCACTTTGGCGTGCCTGAATGAATTATCTAATACATTCTTATTTCCTCTTCGAAATAAAATTTCAAATTCTTTGTTTCTTCAACCCTTCTGTTCCCCTGTACTTAATTTCATATGTTCAAAAGAGTATGTAGAAGAAGATGAGAAGAAGGATTAGTGACGGAATCGGTAAGAGCATGTTTGAAGAAGAAACCATCTGCTGCACAACCTTCTCACTGCCAGGCACTTGATATCTTGGAGGAGCTAACGAATCATCTGGTTGTCTCGTCCTGTATCAAAAATATATTTCATTGGACAGAAAAGGGTTTTGTGGTGGCTTCATATAAAAATTAGAGTTGAATTTGTTTGAGTGATGATGGGATGAAAAGTGTACCCGTTGCCGTCAGGGCAGAAAACAATGGCATATTCAAAGGCTTTGCATGTAAAAGTGCTTGTGCCATCGTCAAAAGCATAACTGTATGCTCTTGGACAAGCCCGCTTGAAAATGGTTGAATAAAAGGAAGGCTGGCATGTTGTTGGGTTAGCAAACTGTCCACTGCAGCAGTATTGGTCCAAACCAAATGCCTCGCAGGCACTCTTGCACCCAACCACACTCCCTTCGTTTACACCTCCCACCACCTGAAGCTCTTTTGGGCAACCTGCAACAGTGTTTCGTTTCAATTTTAAAAATTTGAAGCATCTGGTGACCAACTTGGTTCAGCATATAAGAAAATGTGTCCTGCAAATCGAAGACTTGTGTATGTTGGAGCATGATCAGATTCGAAGCCTTACCTATGTTGATATCTGAAGCACAGCCAGTAGCATTGCAGGCACCATACACGCCGCGTGGAGAAGCGATAAGGGGTAGATTGTAGCCGTCTACAATGCTGACATCGTAAAAATCTTTATCATTGCCATTGCCAAGGGTTATCTCAAAGAGTGAGGCAGGTGGAGTGGCACCGTTGCCATTACATTCCAGTCTTCCTCCACAGTCGCCTGTTTGACACGTGCCCGCTCCCAACTCATCAAATGTGCAACCTGTTCTTGCCCATATACGTCCTGACCATCCGAGAGTAGAAGGAATTCTAGCACTTTGGCCGGAGTCCAACCGGAAGCCAGTTGTTGGGAGTTGAGGCCTGCCCGAACCCGCTAAAGTACCTGGCCAGATGGTATCCGGGCAGTTGTTTGTTATAGTGAATGTGCATGAGCAGGATAAAGAGAAGAAAAAGGGAAA